GTTAACCTGGGAGGTATATATAGATATATACAAAATCTATCATGCTAAAAACAAATCTCAAATGTTCATAATTACAAAATAATTGGATTCATAGTTAATGATGTATGAATTATGAGTGCATTTATTTTTTCTTTAATTTTTACTTTCTTCTTCATCAATAATTAAAGAAATAATTATTAAATCTTTAAGATAATAGTGAGTGTTATTAACAATAGTATTTTTTTTTGTTTTTGGTGGTTCAGATGTGTCTTATTCAGTTAATCTGAAACTTGCCCTTAATGAAAAGTAGAAACAGCTGGGCCCCACCCCCGCAAAAAAACTGAGGCTATCCCCCTGACCGCAAGGCTGAAGTGCTAAGGTGACATCACTCAAGAGTCTTATAGCAGAGTGAATCTAAACTCAAATAAAAGCTGTTTGTGTTTGTCATCCATTCCCATAACTACCTTTTCTATGAAATGCTTGGCTTTAATGAAAAACTCTCCAGGAAGACAAGTGATAAATATAGATAACCATCCATAGTGTACACTTTCCAAGATAAATGTGTAAGTCTTAGTGAGAGCAAAATCAAGTGGGAAGATTTAAAAAAAATAAAAATAAAATGAAAAGGTACTGGTTTTATTTGCTATCTTCCTCTATCATAAATTCTCAAGACTCCAAATCCCACCCCAAATCTAGTATCACTCACTCCAATAATCATTTCAGCTTTGCTCAAAGCACTTGCATTCATCTTTCAGTTACTGATAAAATGATCAATTTCATGATTTTAAGTGACCCTTTAATATGACTGAACCACAAACACACAAAAAAATATATATTAATGAAATTTAGAGATACATTAACTAAATTTGTTATTAATAAATTTTATTCAATTTCTGGAAGATGCATAAAAAACAAATTTATATTTATAAAAACATTAAATCTAATTTAGATGAGCATTAAGATCATTGTATCTTTTTGTTACCAATTCAATTTTATTTTGGGTTAATGATGTTCTAAGTAACAGAACTTTGTTGTTTTTTTTTAATGCAAAAAAGTCTATAAGGACTTTTGAAACTGCTGAAAGACATTTGCAGCAAACGCCAAAACAAACCTTTTGTATTCAGAAGAGAGACAAGAGAAATCAGAACAAGCACATCACAAAGTTGGGTACTTGCAAATTTTCAGATTAAGATTGAGATTTTGGAAAGCTAATTATCCATTATTAAAATAATACCCAAGTTTTATTTGTAAGCATTATGATGTCAATCATGCAGTTTCCAGCTTTTTTTTTTTTTTTTTTAAAAGGGAGATGATGGAAGAAACAGGGTGCTAAAGTGGAGCAATGAAATAGGGACAACAAAGTGAGGGGGTGTTACAAAGTGAGAGCACTGAAAAACCAGGAAGCAGATCAAAAGAAAGTTTGAGGGTAATATAGAAAAAAAATGTAGGAACTCAAAGAGGACAACTGCCACCTAAAAAAAATGTGAGCACCAAAAGGACAACTCCCCACACACACCCCTCCCCACAAAAAAATGGTAGTGTTGAGATAGCATGTCTATCTCCTCTCCCCCCAAAAAAAGAGGCATCAAAAAGGAATTTAAAAACAAGAAAAAATTTTAAAATGGAGATAAATCAAGATTTTGTGAAGACGGTTAATTGACAAATCAAATTGATCAAGAAACTAATCCTGGAATTAATTAAAGTCTTATTTGTCGGCTATAAAGTGGTCCTAATCTGTTGTCCATAAAGAGGTTCTAATTTGTTCTAGATGTTGTGATTGAAACATTAAAAATGATGAGAATGGATCTACTGCTATAGGACATCACTGAATGAAAAGCTCCAAGATTAAAGAAAGAACTTTACTGAAAGGTTAAGACAGGCTTCACACAATGCTCAAATCCAGCCACAAGTAAAGAGAGAAGACTAAGGCTTTTCTTGAAATGTTGATATTTCTAACAAATCATCCTTTACCCACACATATATATATATATATATATATATATATATATATATATATATATTAAGATAAATATATAGTAGTAATTGCCAGAGTGTAAAATGCCAAGATTAATTTTACAGAATGAACAAGTGAAACCACCATTCAAATGTCATTGGAGATGTGTCCTTAACAAAGGCTCAGGGAACAACCATCCATCATACTGTCAATTTTCAACAGAAAACAGTAAAACAAAGACAAAAAAAGCATAATAAAGAGGATATAAAATAAAGTAGGAAAAAGAAATAATGGTGAAAAGAAAATTACAGAAGCTGAATGCAAAGAGGAACAATTTAAGAGAAAGAAGAAATGAAGATAAGTTTTAGGTGGAGGAGAACAAAAAAAATATAGTGAAAAGATGGAATGGGTAGTGATTCAGTAGGAGGAGATATTAGTCCTAAAAATGCTTGAATTAACAATAAATTGCTTTAAGAACATGAAGTCCATATTGGAGGAGACCGATCCACTCAAAGTGGCATATATTAAGCAAAGGACAAGTGGTATTCAAGAAGAAAAAAAATGACCTAGGCACCAAGAGAAAATATCATGTTCTGGAGCCTTGTCTACTCTCTCCTGATTCCCATCTCTCTCACTTCAGCTCCTGAAGGTAAGCATCGTGACTTATCAAATTAGGCTAACAACTTTCAAATGAAAACCAGTTGTATAAACATTGGCTGGTTCCAATACAATCACCATTTTAAAATTCATCACATCCAATGTTAAAATATAGACTCAACTTAAATTTCCTTTAGTTAGTGGGGAGAAAAGAATTTTTTTTACCAGTTTGGTTGTAATGACTGTTAGGAATTGCAATATACGAGTAAATATTTTATACTCGATTAGAGTTTACCTGAACATTTATAAAATACACCACACTCTAAGATGCTCTGGTTCATCTCAATAAAATACTTCCAGAGTTTATAATTATTTAAACCCAATTACAAGAACATGACTTAAACAGAATACTCTTAAAAGAGAGGTACAATTCAGGCCTAACCTGAATAAATGGTTCTCTGTAGCTCAGTTGATTAATGATAGCTTCTTCTGCTCAGAGGAACACAGGTTCAAATCCTGCTGGAGGGGTGTAAATTTTTCTTTAATAAGATTTCTCAAACATTCAGACTGGTAGATGAAAATAAATAATCAGAGCATATACTCTAATATGAGTATCCACTAAAAAATAACATTTAAAAAAGATATATATATATATATATATATATATATATATAGATATATATATATATATATATATATATATATATATATATATATGTGTGTGTGTGAGAGAAGATTGAGTAAAAGTTTTTCACTTAGCTGATTGATATTACCTTCAGCATCCTGACTCCAGAGTTCCATATGCAGATCTGTCCATCCACTCTTCAGATGAGTATCAGCAATTTACTGATTATATTTTTTCTATTTGTTGCCTTTTTATACAGCCACTCATATCCAAGGATGCTCAGCTACTAAGGCGGCTAGCCAATCACTGTTACAGATGCCTGCTCAGGCATATTTGTGATTGTTCAACATCCACAGAGCCCATCTATGATTTATACTGCAACTATACTCAGAAGATCTTTGTTACAGTTTCAAGGAGATAGCATGAATAAGGCCAGCACACTCAAGACCTTGATCACAATGACTTGTGACTTTGTGCTAACACAACCATTGACCCCCACCCCAAAGTGTCCCATCTAACCAATTTCACTCACAAGACTTGGGTAAACGTGTTATGGTTTTCAGATACTTTCCAAAGGTACCAGACACAGAGATTGCTTCCTCCAGATCAATAGCATCAAGTCAGCTTCCTGACAAATTGAACATGTTGAGATTCGAACCCAGATCATGTTCAGAAAGCTAACATTCTAACCCCTCAGCTATATATATATATATATATATATATATATATATATATTATACATGCACACAAATCAGAGAGAGAGATAGATTATGACAAAGCAGGTATATAAAGCTTCAACATATATTTTACCTATCCCTTGGCACAATTTTTTTTTTTAACTGATAAAGCTTCCTTTGAAATCTTGTTTCATCTAATTTTCCTTTTTCAACTTAAGAGTCTCTGTTAAATATTGAATAATGATGTTGAAGATGTAGGTGTAGTAGTAGTACAATCACAGACCCAGTAAAAGGAGATGATTGTATCTTTTAGTAGGATAACATTTGAAACTTTCCTCTCAGCAGCCAAATCTGGCATCACTCACAACCTATACTTAATTAGTCATGACAAGAGTAACAGTCACTCTCATTTGAGAGTCATACATTAATTATAACATACATTAATGAAATTAACTAAATTATTTTTTATACATTTCACTGTAGATTTGTAAATGGTGCAACTACCTTTAATATTTAACAGAGGACTTAAAAAGGATGCTTACTTTTTTTTTGCAAATAACACAGAAGACATGTGGAGGAGACATGAACATGAAAATATGTACTATGAAAATGAATTCTTTGAAATGCATTCTGGTCTCCCACACTTAGATGTCAGTGTAGCAGTGATGTACTAGAGAGGGGGCATCTGATATTTTGTAATGAGATTAAATGAGTACAATGTGTATTTCTATAGCAAATTAGCTAATAATGAGAGGACAAAGTTTAACCCATAAAGGGAAGGTTTGATATAAAGAAAGTATTTAATCCATAAAATGTTTCCCTTCTTCATTTCCCACTTCCAGGTTTTTATTCTCCCTCCTTGTGATAAGCTTTTCTGTAGACATTACTTCTTATGAAATTCCTCAAATGTTTACTTATCTTCTAGCCAAAGACAGATTAGAGAAAGTTGTAAAGTTTTCTCATAAGAGAATATGAGTGGAGGAGACAAGAAGAAAAAATAAATTAAATTAAAGAAGAAAAAAAAAAAAGGAGATATAAATCAAAGGAAAAAAAACTGAATAAATCTTTTTAATGTTAGTGAAAGGAGTCAGAAAAATTAGTGATTATGAAAAGGAAAATTTTTAATTCAGTATTTCTTATCCACCAGACACAAGCTTAGTCACATAATGTTGAAACACCAGTTCCCATACAAACACTGAGATTAAGCAACATTGCACCTGGTCAGTACCTAGATGGGTGACCGTTTGGGAATAACAGGTGTTGTAAGCTTGGATGTGCAGGTGGTGTAATGGATAATAACTTGGAATTATTAATCAGAGAGCCTAGTTGGATTCATTATATTTACTTATGCACAAATACCCTTGGGAAAAGTATGAACTCACCACTTCTTCTCCCCCCCGATATGGGTTTATTAGTAAAAACTTGTATCACTAAAATATATATATATATATATATATATATATATATAAAATAAAAAGTATTTAGATTTTGGCATTAAATGATCCATAGAGATATTGATGCCTCTAGGCAAAAACAACCAACCCACAGAATATCTATATAATTGGGATGAGTGTTTGCCTCTTTTCTAAAGCAAATAGTTTCATGAACAAACATTCAAATTTGTTTTTTTTTTTGTATGCATATTGAATCCAGAGAATGGTTTAACACATTGGCTGCTACACAACCCACTAGTGGGTCATGTTGGTATGTCTGCAAGTCCAACACGACCCTCCTGTGGGTGGTTTTCCAATTACTTTTCTATGAGGATTATTCAAAGTGGGATGCTATGATTGATTTCTTATGCGATCATGGTACACAAGAAACATTTTTATCCCCCAAAAAATTTAAATATTTTTGAATATAGAAAATGAGAGCTAGTGTCAATGTAATACTTGTATACTGGGAATTTTCCAACAACCCACAGGTGGGTCATGTGGGACTCCGGGTTGTGAAATGGACTCAGGTAATGAATGACACACCAGTAGGTTGTGGGTAATAAATACCACCAATGATATCCTTACCCATATATGAAACAAGTTGCTTGTACCAAAATTAATTAAGATATAGTGTTGGAACAAGGGAAATGAGACTTGGAAGCCAACATGTTAAACATGAAAAGACTTTTCTGTCATTGTTACAGTTACCATTTGTAACCATATGGAGTAAGATTACAATTATCAAGCCAAATAATAAAAACATTTGTATGTTTTGAAAAGTAACTTCCTGTGTTTCTCTGTAAAATATATTCGACTTTTCACAGTATTTCTTCATCAGAAGAAATGAAGTTTGTTTATATTGAGTTCAATTTTTATATATTTTTATGAAGTTAGTGCAAGCATAAACCCTGGCTGTCTACAAAATGAATGTTGATGAATGTGAATAATGGCAATAAATTTTTAATGGGCAAGGAAGATTGTAAAAAAAGACATTTATTACTTATACATTTAATTTGTTTTATCTTGGTAGATGGTTATGTGGAGTGAACTGAAATTGTTTCATTAATCAGAAAATCCCAACTACAATAAAAAGATACAGTTATGCTTTATGTATCCTAATTTAATCAACAGTTACCTAAATATAAGAATGTACACAGGAACAATAAGCAGTCTTGTTTCTTTAACCTTCTCTTAACTGAAGCAATTATATGGGAATTAGTTATTCATACAGTTGTTTTTTCATAAAAATTCTATAACTTATCAGTGTATGCACACACACATATATATATATATATATATATATATATATAAATTTTGTATTTAGGCACAACCCCTCTTTTATACAAATTTCCGTAAAAATGACTGAAAGGTACTGTGATTAAGTTTTATTTAATTTTTCTCGTGTACTTATAATTTTGTTCTTTTCTGGATGTAAATTAAGTAGAAATTGGCCAGATGTTTTGAATGCCCGAGAGCTTTCAGCTATACTTTTAGCCATTATCAAGCATGATAATTTATTTTATATATATATATATATATATATTAGTTTGTTTTTGTTTTTTTTACATTAAAAAATAAAAAAAAATAAAATATTATATATATGAAGAAAGACAAACGCAAAATTTTTAGTCCATGCCTTTCATCCTCTGATGGACTATTTTGCAAAATGTATTTATGAAGAGAAGTAGACATGTTTTTAAATTTATAAACTCATAAATATAGTAAAAGTCAAGGTAAATTCACCAACAATAATATTTACTTTCATTTATTAGACATGACTTTAAAAAAACCTTCATCAATATAGATCAAGAGGACAAAAGCCACCAGAGTTAAGCAAAGTTTAACTTTTGTCTATTCATGTTGTAATTTTACAGATATGATTTTAGTTTAGACAGAAACTTCTTTTTTTTAAAGTTAATTCATATTTTTCCATATCTTACTAGTTGACTATACAAATATTAAGGTATTACAACTTATAATTTGTGATTACTACTTGGTTTGATGTAACAGAGTGTCATGCAACAAGGAAAAAATAATTTTTTTTAATATACGTGTGTTAGCACGTGCGATACCCTGTCTTCATCAGCTGCTGACCATTTAGTATTATATGTGAATTGGGATTAAATATGGATCAGAATTGGACAAAATAAGACAAAGAACAAATAGTAAATGTTTATCAATCTAACATGTTGCACTTTTATTAAAGCTCTAATCTGAGAATGTGATGTGAAGAAAAAGAAACAAATTCTGGTATTTTTTGTATTTGATTTTCATTGGTTAATCAGCTTTGAGAGCTCAAATGCACATAAAACCTGATAAGCCAATGAAAATCAAACAAAAATAAAAATACCAGAATCTTTTTCTTTATATCACATTCTCTGATGAAGCTTTAATAAAAAGTGAAAGATTGATAAACGTTTCTTATTTGTTTTTTCTTACGTATAAGTCAACACTATGGTGACAGCCAATGGCCTGAGTATTGCATTCAAGTATGAAACAGACTGTCGCCATTTGGTGTTGACCTCAGTGTTCCCTTTATATTTACATATGCTCTATCCCTGATATTGAGCACCTTTACCCATAAATATAGCATATACTTTAAAAAATAAATTTTCATATATATATATATATATATATATATATATATATATATATATATAGAGAGAGAGAGAGAGAGAGAGAGATAACAGTCAAACTTGACTTGTACAAAATCACACCTGCCTGTACCAACATACCTTTAACAATAAAAGAAGCATTTTATGGTCAGATGCAATCCAATTCTCAATTTCTTACCCAGTGTAGACAGATACTTCAGCTAGTGTTTTTATCATTTGATATCCAGACAGTTTCCACCACATCCCCTCACATTTCAAAGATAATATACCATTATTTAAATTATTACCTGTGAATTGTAGACACTTGAATACTTATATCCACACATCTGTGGCTATGCAGAATTTACATTGGTTTTTTGGGGTTTTTTTTTTTTTTTTGGTGGAGTAGGGGTTGTTTTTCTATCACTTTGTCCAGTAACAAGTGTTAAAGAGAGAAGGAGTGCTGGGTGACATGGAAGTGTGAGGTGTGAAGATTGAAGTTTCCCAAAATGTCATGCAAATATAGATGCAGACAAAACTGGTAAAACACAAAGCAAAAAAAAAATTATAGAACAAAGCCAGGAGGTGGGGAAAAAATTCTGTTCACTAACTAAATCTTTCTTTCTTTTTTAACAGTAGATTTTGTTGCTTATTTTACACCAAGAAAAGGGAGTGGCTTTTGAAAAGAGAGGTTGACTACTTTCCATCAATAATTCTTTAAATAATCACCACAACATCATTTACTCACAAGCTGTTTATGGAAATTCAGCTGTATGGATAGTGTAGTAACAGATGACAGATAATACAATATAGAAATAGCAAAAGAATACCTTCTGGAAATTAAGCAAAGTAATAAGAGATTAGAAAAATTTTGTATGAAACAGAGTGCCAATATTTAATCTCCTTTATGGCAGTGAATACTGGACAATCTCTTCACAAATGAAGAAACTTGAAGTGACCGAGATGCTTCTACTACCAAATTCTAAGAATTTGAAGCAGAACAGGTAAGTTTTAAGGAAAATAGTAACTACACAAAAACTAATAAATACAATCAAAAAGAGACTATCAAAATAATTTATACACGTAATGAGGAAAGCAGACTTGGAGAATTCAATACTCACAGGACATTGACAGCAAGAGAAGCAAGTAGGAAACAGCAAGTAACCTACTTAAGTTTGTGTGAATAGATGGCAAAGATGAAGGATGGTAAAAGTTAAAAAATTAGAACAAATGACAGTAAATTGTGGAGAGCCATTATTGCTCACATTCTGAAGAGACAGGACATAGAAAAGATGTCCATGATATTACAGTTAAAGAAATAAAAAAATAAGTGTACATAACAAGTACATTAGTAGAGAGATAATGAAATACTTATCACTGTGTTTAAAAGTGTTCAGCCCAATGACTTAATCATTACTCCATTACTAAACAATTTTACTTTAATTTGGTGCTAAAATATTTTCAGTATTTTATAAGAAAAAACTTATTAAATACTTCATTTGTAATTCTCTTACTTGCCCATTTTTTATTCTTTTAGTAACTTATCACAATCTGCTTATTGTGCACTGAAAAAATAACAGATCGTCTATCAAGAAATTAAAAATACTATATTAGATTTGATGACCAATCATTTGATAAAGAGAAATATTTTTTTCTCTTCTATATGCCATATCCCTTCAGGTTGTTGGCAATCATGACTCTCCACAATATCCTGTCTTTTGTTGCCTTGTGAATTTTGTCTTTTTCTTATCTCTCCTAAACCTTGTCCTGCTAGCCATTTACACAAAGCTTGTTAAGCAGATTATGTTCTGCAAGTGTCAAGTTTTCCAAGCCCTCTTTCCTCATTATGAAATTTCAACTGTCTTTCTAATATTAAATGTCATTTTTATTATTATTTTTATTATTATTATTATTATTATTATTATTAAGAAAAAGAAAAAAACATTAATTTGAATCTTCACATTTTTATTGAAATCTATGGAGGAAAAAAATTTAAAAAAGGAAAAAACATTATTTTAAAATATCCAGAAGATAACATTCAAAAACCAGCTACAGATGTGTTTCTACGTCAATCTTGATCCTTTTTATGCCCTTCTGAGCTAGAAATGAGTCCAATTGTCAACATGTCTCTTAGAAGTGTTAGCCAGTACTCGAGTACTTCAAGCTACCTCAGTTTCTTAGTTACTATATTAAAAACAAAAAATTCATATGGAAATGAAACATTTTTTTCCCCAAAA